AATACTTCTGATCGTCTATCTAATTTAGCATTGAGATTTTGTTTTGGGGGAAATAACGTCGCAACATATATATAGTAGTTGAAGCACGAGTACAAGGTTTATAGACATTGGAACTCAATCTGGTTGTACCGTCCGCCGAGATCACGCATGAGGACTCTGCGAGATAACGTTCGGTATTGCGCATTTGAACAACCGATATATAGATTTTTCTAGAATGACTTTGACCCCGCCACTGTGCTTACAGAAAGGTTGCGAGAAGCATTTCAACTTGCACGAACCTGCACAAGGATTCCAAGGTTTTCCTGGAATTGTTTTGCATCGGTTCGAGCGATAAGACACCTGCCCGAATTGCGCACTTTAAGCTCGAACTCTACATCAAAAAGTTTCCCCGCCACTGTGCTTACAGAAAGGTTGCGAGAAGCATTTCAACTTGCACGAACCTGCACAAGGATTCCAAGGTTTTCCTGGAATTGTTTTGCATCGGTTCGAGCGATAAGACACCTGCCCGAATTGCGCACTTTAAGCTCGAACTCTACATCAAAAAGTTTCCAACGTACATTCGGAAGAGCACAAAGAGTCGCTTATCTTCTGCGAATAATTCGATACCCTGAAGAACAAGATGAAAACAGTGTCCGGCTGCCGTCTAAAGTCTGCATGGAGGTCGGGGAAGTCATTTGAAAGCTTCGGGGCGGGAGACAGCTGTTCGAAACCTGCACGGAGACTTCCTGAAATCGAATGGCTGACGAGAGCCGGCAAATTTCCTGGAATCGATGCTGTTGCATCCTCAATGCGCAATTCTGCGAGATAACGTTCAAGGTCAAACCGGCTGAAGGCTGCCGTCTGAAATCTACACGGATCAGGGAGGGAGAAAGGGGGTTCATAGAAGATTCTTGAAGGCTCCCGGGGTGGGGGGCAAGGGGCTTCATCAAAACGTCGCACGAGAGAACCGTCGGTTCTGGGAGCAATCCTCCGCGATTTAGCACGGACGCGAACCGTCAAAGCTTCTAGAAAGTTCTAAAATGTTCTAGAAGGTTCTCCATTGTATGTAATTCCTAAAATCGAGCGCAAAATTCCTGGAGTCGAACGAAAGTTCTTGGAAACGAAGGGTCTTTATGACATCACTTTCGAAAATTGTGGCCGCATACGTTGCCAACTTAGTACGGACACCCACCTTCGAAGGTTTTCGAGTATCGGTAAAGGTCGGTGCAGGAATCTGTATGCAAAATCCCCACAACTATACTACTTACTAGTGCTCGCTATTCCGCCTAGCCCGTCTTGTAGAGAAATATTGTCAAAATTCTGAGGAGAGCACTACGATCTACCTCAGAAACTTCAGTTCACGCCATATTGATTTTGAGCTATTATCCTCCCCATGATTCGTCAATTCGCACGGAGTGTCATAGCCAATAAATAGGCATACCGCCACTAGGGCTACCGTACTAACACAGGCGCATCCTCTATTCCTCAAAGACAAGTCAGAGAAAAATAGGGATAGACAAACAAATATAGGCTGCTTCCCTAACAATCCTTTCCTATAATACTGACGTTTATATTAGACGATTGTAATTGACGCATATTGTATTAGTCTAAGAGCTGGCGACAGATTTCACTAAACGTTTTCAGCACAGCCATATTTTCGTGAGGCGCTAGGTACAAGATTCGTATTGTGAAAACGGTGAGTCTGGCAGCCCAGCCGCAGGTAAAAAAACGCGATTTTCAATGCATTTTAGCACAGTCAATTCCGACTTAGATCTGGTCTACTATTCTGTGACATCATTAGTTTAAACAACCAGCGTAAGACTGGATTATACTCATTTAAAATATATATATTTTTAAGTGATAGCAGCAGATCTGACAATTTTCTTTTTATGAAGTATTATATCGCCCTACAACACCCGCAGAACGCCAGATCGAAATTCAGTTGCCAACACCTAGAAAATAATTAATAAAGTTCCACGATGTCGGATGAAAGTCGTGGCCTGCGCGGGGAGTAGCGGAACGGGGGCCACACGAAACATGTGTGACCTATTATATGATCTAGCACTGGCCCATCATTTTAATTGTATTTTCAAAATTTCCTATAATTTTTTCCCTACTCTTTTACATTACTACTGCTTCCCGTAGTTGATTATGATTTAATAGTCATTTAATAATTAATAAAACTTTAGGTGATTCCTTATCGAGTACTACTTGGCGGGTCCAAATTTATATCAAGAAATGCACGGACCCGCCAAGTAGTACTCTATAAGGAATCACCTAAAGTTTTATTAATTATTAAATGATCATTAAATCATAATAAACTATGAGAAGCAGTAATAAATGTAAAAAAGTAGCGAAAACGTTATAGGAAATCATGAAAATACAACTAAAATGATGGGCCAGTGCTAGATTGTATAATAGGTAAATATACCGGATGTCCCATCCCACGTAGAAAACGTGTAATAATAATCGCATCTGCCGAACGAATTATCCTTCTGTATGGTAAGAAGTTTTAGCTCGTTTTCGATCACGGCAACTTCAGGTATCCTATTTGGGATGGGACATATGGTATAGTGGTTTATGTACTTCGCATTAATAATATAATTTCAATACTTTTTGTTAGAGGAATTCACAGCAGTCCTGTACTTGACGTAGTTTTTTTACACTAAGTGTTTTTTGGGGATTTTTGTTACCGGACAGGAACCCCCTTTCGCGGAACCATATCGGTCTTATATTTTTATGTATATGTATTTGACATTTTTCTGCAGTGTAATTTTGTGCGCTCCTTATGAGTGTGCGAAATGGGATGTAGGTAATTGTTCGGGGTTGGTGTTTTTAAGAACTTAGGCTAACTTAAGGTTATATGATAAAATAAAATAACGTGTGTTTATTGAATTATCGATGAGAGGTACAACAGTCTTTGAGATATGTCAATTATAATTGTCAAGTGTAGTGTCGGTATTGTAGGAAAGGATTTATCAGGGGAACGTCCTATAATTATTGTTATCTATTCCTATATCGCTCTGCCCGATCTCTAAGGGACAGAGGATGCGCGTGTGTTACTAAGGTGTCCCTAGTGGCTCTCTTCCTTACTATTAGCTATGGGCGAATTGGCGAATTGTGCGAATTGGCTAATCACAGCGAGAATAATAGATCGAAACAAAAATGGCGTCAACTAAAGTTTCTGTGGAAAATCGCTGTGTTCCTCTCAGAACTTCGACAAATTTTATCTTGTAACGTGGCGTTACAGAGTTGAAGGAGGGTCCACCTAGGAATGACCGAAAAATAAATAAATAGGACTTATCAGATCGGCCAGTGGGTTCGGCAGCACAGTGGTAAGTGCCCAGTTTGGCAGTCCGACGGTATCGGATTCGAATCCCGATCAGAACTCCTAATTTTTCGGAAATTCCTAGCTCTCTAGCGCTCCCTGGCGGCTCTGTGGATAAATTAATTACAACGCGGACGAGCCGGGCACCCCGTTATAATCTATGTAGGATGCTCGGCTAAACAATACGTGCTAGGAGGCCGAAGTTATCGACACAAGTCTCAATAAATTTATGCAACTAATATGATCTAGCTCTATCCCATAGGGCATAAATTGCAAATACTTTTGATTATTTTCTAATGCTGTGCGTTATCCTTTCAGACATAAATCCGCGCTTACTCCCGTTCTCTATACTTTTTCTTCACTGACTCTATTAAATTGGTTTGAAATGTATTATTTAACTAATTTACATGATAGATTGATAAGAAAGAAGCGCTAATCCTCTATTGAAATTTATTTATATTATTTTCCGCGGATTGATTTTCGGGAGAAGTTCTCCATCTATGAGCTGGTGTTGACTGTCCTTGTTATTTGTCTCTAATGAGTCCGCTCTCAGTACAGGAGTACTAAGAGTCTGATCAGTTTGTACCGCTACAATATAAAAGTATATAATATCACTTACAAGTTCTAAGTCAAGAAGTGTAAAAGCCCGCCAATCTACTGAAGATTATGGTACTGATTTAGGCAATATGTATAAAATATATCTGCTACATGATAAGATTGAATTTCTGAAAAGTAGCATCATCTGGAAGACAGTTGTATATTTTATCGCTGGTAGTTTTTATCTAGAATGAATAACAACTTATCGACCTTAAAGCCTAGTAGAGACCATATTTACCGGCACACTCTAGAGAATATTTATTGAACATTTACTACCGTAGAAAAAGCAATTGTATTCCCACCATTACTTGCATATTTTTGAGGATGCAACCATTTAAAATTAATACGAACTAATGATACGACTTTTGAGCAATTACATTCTTATTATACTGATCTATTTTACAGATAAGTTTTCTTCCTTGTGATTCAGTACAAAGTGGTGCATAGTATCAACATCATTAAAAAAGAACATTCTTGTCTTTACGATTTTATTAAGCCAGTGATGTCGCTGAAATTATTTGTCTCTTTCTTTCTTTGGAGTAAGTCTAGCTAAGCAGTTGAAAGTACTATAAAATTTCGAGAAAAAATTATTTTAATTATCCCTTATTTTTAGGCATATCTTCGTTCGTATTTAGTATGCCAACGATTGGATTCTATGTAAGAAATAATAATTTACTAATTATTCGTTTAGTATTAATAATTAATAATTTAATCAACAGGATCGACATCAGCTAGAAACTTATGAGGATCTGTCAGATATACCGAGTGATTTTGATTTTTTTGCAAATTTAACTTTTACTTTCTCCTGCGAAGGAAAATCAGTTGGTCTATATGCAGACCAAGAATATGCATGTCGCATATTTCACGTGTGCGATGAAAATGGAGATGATATCCCAATAATTTGTGACAATGGCACCTTCTTCGATCAGCAACAACGTATTTGCGATTGGAGACAGGAAATTAAATGTGACAGAGCGCATGATTGGTAAGGAATATAACCTGCATATTAAATATTTACCAAAAAAAAAGTCAAATAATTTCTATTTTAGGTATTATCTCAACGAGTTACCTTACAGAAGAGAAATATCTGACGAATTCGGAGTACAGGCAATCGAAGATCTTCCGTTAACAGTAGCCACAATTCTGCAGAATGAAGAAGTTCATTCAGTATTACCACTTTTAACACCTTAAAATTTTTAACTCCAAATGAAGCGCATGAATAAATCCGATATAATTGTCTAAATATATCAAAAATATAATTAATATATTTACTCGTATTCTATGTAATTTTCTAGTTTGTCTGTTTGCTAATAAACCACGAAATACGGTATATCAATATTTAGTCACAAGCATGACATACTATTTATCTGGGCATTGTGGTAATGTGCACAAACCGTAACTGTATGGTGTAGTAAAGTAGAATACAAACATCAAGATCTACCGGTTAATTATGATAAGAAGGACAGGTAATAATATAAATTTGTGTCATATTTATTAATTATCTGTATAAAAATGACATGATCCATAATATCAGATAAACTTGAATACGACGATCAATGTATTATGCTTAAACAATTATCGATAACTACAAGCTAGATAATTTTTTTTAACAGATTTCTAGATCTATGAGTTAACACGAAGAATTCAGCAATACAAAAATGGTATAGAAAAACAATATATTATAACCGACCACCAATGTTACCCACATTGAAATAAATACTATTTCGTCTAAAGTCAAGTTACGCCATGATTCATTTAAAATATTTGGTATAGTCGTTTCACGAGTTCAACGTGTTTTTTGTCAGTTCACGAAAAATACAATTCTTGACAAATGACACGTAGATTTTTATAAAAATCTATAAATATATGCTAAAACAGAACATAAAATATAGTTCATTGCAAAACCAGACACATGCCTACTTTGTAAGGAAAATTCTATGAAGAGCCACGTGTAGCTTGCTAGAGACTTAATTGTTTTCGATCTGTCAATAAACTACATCGAACTGGTGGACTGACTATCCATATGTTTTTAACATGTTCTATACATGATTACAGTCTTATGTTAGAATTTGCCGATAAGGTATGATTCTTACTTTCCATTATAATGTTCATTATAGCCATATGGCCGGGATATGCCGGGTCCTGCTTTATTATTATCGTAAACGTATTTGATCTGTGGGTGAGTTGAAGTTCCAAAAATGGCCTGACGAAGCATACCGAACAATGCCGAGCCAAGAGCCATATTGCTTATCATACTTGCCATAGAAGCTGCTGCCCGCGCATGCACTAAAGCCCTTTGAAGAACAAACGTAACGAGAAATCCAATTCCTGGTAGCATTTGTGGTATTTTGGATTTCAAATCTCGTCCCATGTGTATCAGTATACTAGTTGTCTTTCTGGAAATTACGTCCTCATTTAGCTGTGGTAAAGATAGAGGTATCTCAGGATAAGCACTTTTATGCTCAGTATTAGAATATTTTTGCACATATTCCAACAAGTCTTTAAATGTATTTTTAGCCTGATCGTTATCCTGAGCTACATCATTTCCTTCAAGGACTGCTCTGCTGACTATCGAATCTTTATCCATGTCGTGACTGATCGGAGGCTCTAGAGGAATTACTTTCAAATTATTATCTAGAGAATCTTCTTGCGTGTCTAGTGGTACAATCTTCAATTGATTCATAAAGCTTATCGATTTTTTATCGATTATAGAGTCGTTATTATTTTTATTAGATTTTATTTTACTTGCTATTCTATCTCTTATCTTCGTCCCAAATAAAAGTTCAAATGCATTATAAGCATCCTGTGCACTGAGGTACTGTCCTGTATTTGATTCACTCTGAACAGAATAATTTGAACGAATCTTATCAAGAAACATGGCGATTAATTGATCATCGTTAATTGAACGCGAATCACCCTTCTGATCAAGATCTTGATTCTTTAATGAATTATTAAGGATTTGATATTCTGTGCTATCAAGCAGATCATTTTTCATACTTCGCGTTTTCTTCACGTGTTTGCCTTTATCATTCTGATCAAACATATCCTCCATGAAATCACTAATCATAATCAATATACTTGGCATATTTTTCGTATCCTTAACTTTTTTTACACGACCCTCTCGATATTCCGAAATGCTTATTCTGAGGTCTCCGTTACCGTAACCCTTCACCTTTAAGTATCCTAAGTTGACTTCAAATTTATCTTCCAATAGAGACTCATACCAATCTAATAAAGTACTTTCTACTGAATGTCTACGTGTTACAAGTTCTTTCTCAAATTCTGAACTGGTCATACCAAAGAAATTTTGAATCACAGTTTCCTCTTGGCTTCGTCTAAATGGAGTAATACTTGGGAATGAAGGAAATCCTATTGAGGGTAAATTACTAGAAATCATAGGCCACACGAAAATTCCCATACATCTTATAAAGCTGAGACTTCTTAAGCAGCGAATAACGCGTGACATGAAACCCGTCCTGCTAATTTCTGGATTTAAACCCTCCACAAATTTTAGAATTTCATATTGATCTGCAGTTAGGAAATCGCGTATAGTAGAATTGAGAGTATCGATGAAATATTTCTTAGTGACATCTGATTGGACATCCTCAGGATGATCATTTTGTTTTGATATGTTAATTAGAATTTGTAGCAGCTCCGATTCGGTTATGTTGAGGCCTGTATTCTCCGCTTTTTTGGTAGATTCAGTAATGTTTGGTTTTGGATAAAAGTTAAGAAGATCTATGACGCTTCTCCGTTTTCGAGATTTTGCAGTTCCACTTACAAAATCGGTAGCATTACTTTCTGACGTTGCGTTTTGCAATTTTAAATCTTCTTCCCGGATGTTGATGAAAACGTTATCAGGTTGTCCTGCATAACCTAGAACTGTACCAGTGCTTTGTATTATTCCTGGAGTTTCAAGATAAGCTGATTGTTCTCCATTTTTTGCAATTTCATCGTGAATTAGTACAAGTTCTTCTGGCGTAGTAAGGATTGGATGAGTCGACAAAGCGACTTTGGTAACGGAACTTTTGTCTTCAATAATTTTTATTGGTCTGGGAATTTCTTCAAACAATCCCGATAATCCTGATGTACTGGGCAATTCCGGGATTTGCGGAAATGGAGGCAGATCTGGTATAAGTGCACCAAAGTCTGGCAATTCCGAAAGTGTTGGTAAGAATTGTCTGATTGTGGGCCAGCTAACATATTGCATACAAGTCAAAAAATTATTTCCACGCATACATTGAAGCATTCTCACTACGAACGCAGGTCGTTCCGATTTGGGCACAATGTTTTCGGCTACTTTTAAAATATTTTGTTGACGATCCGTCATTATTGTATCTATTGGCAAAACAATGGAATCCAAGTACGACCGTTCTATAGGTAAAATTCCTGTTGAAGATGCAACCTTCTTCAGAATTTCGGATATCTCACCCTCTGATTGATGGATAGTAGATTTTAAAGAAATTGCCGGTAATTCGCTAGACATCGCTAATGTACTTGCTCTTGAAAAATTCTGAAAATTTCTGAAATTCGGAAAATTTGGTAGTCTTGGGAAGAATTGCAATATCGCCGGCCATGCAACGTCGCGTGTACACTCCAAAAAATTATTTTCACCAACACAATCTATCATTCCATTAACAAAAACTGGTCTTACCATTTCCGGCAATAAACTTCCAGCAAGTTGGATAATATTAGCCTGTTGCTCAGTAAAAAGATTGGAGAATTCTGGCGTTCTGGTACTTGGAAAAGTCATATCACTTAATAGTCCTGGTGTAGATTTTTGTATAGTTCTTAAAATATTTAAAATAATAGCTTCAGGTAATTCTGTACAAATTGGCGCAAATCTAGTATCGGTAATTGTAACAGTAGTTTTACCCAATTGCCCCGTTTTTACATTAATTTCCGATGACGTGAATGGATTCTTGTGCGATTCCGGTTCTGCGAAATTTTCTGATTCCAAAGGTTTTCCTTGATTTGATTCAGCCTGTAAAATTCTAAAATTTGGAAAGCTGGGCAATCGTGGTACGTGTTCCGCTAATGTCGGCCACATCACGTCTCTTGAGCAGCTTAAGAAATTCTTCTTTTCTGCACACTCAACTAGTCTCTCGGTGAAACCTTGCCGTGCTAATTCCGGTAGTATATCTTCGGCGATCTGGAGAATATTTTCTTGCTGTTCCGTTAGCCAGTTGGGGAGAGCAGAATGTCTTCTCAAAGAAAACGATGAAGCAGCATAAGAATCTGAAGACGAAGAATGAATCGACTGAAGAATACTGAGTATAACATCTTCTGGCTGTTCAGTAAAAATGGGTACGAATCGTGTTCCAGTTACGCTAATGACTGGTCCATGGTGTCCGAATTTTGTTCTAGGTATAGCGTCCATATTTGGATGAATTCCAGACGTTATTTCAGTAATCTCATCTTTGGAGATTTTTTTATCCTTGTCACCGAGAATTGCGGAAGTTTTTGCAGATTCTGTTGGAAACTTGGATATTATAGTACTTGACTGAATTGTTTGTTTTGATTGTTCTGCCGCATTTTGTAGAATTTGATTCTCAGGAAATTGTGGCAATCTGACATACTTTCCCACAGTTGGCCAAATTATTTGTCGTGTACAACCAACAAAATCATTATATTGTTTTATGCACAAAAATACATTTGTCATCACAACAGAATTCTCAAAAGGCTCCACCAATTGTTGTGTCAGTCTTAAAATATCCAACTGTCTCTCATTTAATACGGTTAACGACAAAAGAGTCTGATTCAGTGGTAATGAATCCCCAACTGGTTTCTTGGAATCGTAAAGATTTCTCAATATATCTTGTATCTTCATTTCAATCTGCGAAGGATCAATTAACTTTACTGAATCTGTTGGAACTCCACTTTCCTTAGTTTGTTCAGTGATTCCTGAAAAATCCGAAAAACTCGGAAATTGTGGTAAATATTCAGAAAAGTCTGGAAATTCTGGAAGTTCAGGTATCCATCCTTGAAAATCAGGCAATTCTGGAAGTCCTGGGAAAAACTGTCTTACGGTCGGCCACATAGAATATTTGACGCAACTTAAGTAAGTGTATTGTTGAATACATTTAAACGTCTTTGTTGTGAACTCCGGTCTCATAGGACTTGGTACAAATTGTTCAGCTATATGAACAGTTCGAATTTGGTCAGGTGGAATAAGAGTGAGAAACTGATTATTTGGATTAATCGCAGTGATAGTAGGTATTTTAGAAGCATCCGGTAAATTATTTCGAAGTATATGAATTATAACAGTCTCAGGTTTTCTCATGCGAGTCGCATCGGCTTCAACTATTTCCGGGAGACGTCCTTCCCCCTCGGAAGAACTCGGAAAAGGGACTATGGGATATTCCGGATATAACGTCACAGTCTGATACCAATTTTGATATTCTGGAAACAATGGTAATCCTGTATAATATTGCTTTACCATAGGCCACGCAAAATACTTGACGCAGCTGTAATACTCGAATCTTCTTACACAAGAGAACATCCGATCTGAGTATTCCCGTCGCACGGCTCCGGGTAGAATCTTTTCGGCCACTTGTAGAATTTTCACTTGTCCCGGTGTTAAAAGACTCAATAAAGTACCATTCTTTGGATCAATAAAAGTCGGTGCATCTACATCATTATGATTGAATTTAAATCCTTCGTTTAGTATATTTAATAAAGCTGATTCTGGCATCAATGATATCTTCTGATGATCGTCCAGATTTCTTGCAGACTTAGATCGATTCCGATTACTTTGGATCCAATCTGCTACATTAATCTCGATTGGTAATGTCGGAAAATTTTGTGATATCGATTGCGGTATATTATCAGCCACTGCAGGCCATACAAAAATCCTCATACAATTGAGAACACTTAAACTTCGTATACAGTCAAATATATTCCCAATAAAAGATTGTCTTTGCTTCTGATCTACCAAATTTTCTGCGCACCTGATGATTTCCAATTGATGATCTGTTAATAAACTACTATTCATCGCATTGACATAAGAATTATTTGAGCTTATATCGTCTTTAGAAGGCGTTATGTTTCTTAATGCTTCCAATAATTGCAATTCCGTAAATTTTGGTATTTCTGGTAACACTTCGCCAGCTTGTTCGCGCAATTTTTGCAAAATGGTCCTATTGCGAATTTGTTCTTGAAGCAACATAGCCTGTTCCTTCCATCTTTGAAGAAATGCATTGTTCTCAACTAAGCTGACAGCCCCAATAGTGATGTTAGATGTTAGATGGCCCCGATAGTTGTGTGATCGAAAATCATTAGGAAAATTATTCTCAACTTTATCAGCATTACTACGTCCGCGTTTAGAATCACTCTCATAATTCCCAAGAACATTCTTTCCACCCTGAAGTAATTCAGCCTCTTCCATTATCTCAGTTACCTTCTTATTATCTTCCTGAACGTTATTAAGTGCATCGTCCCGTATAGAAATAAGTCGTTTTATCTGGTCATCGACAATGGATTCCTGAGCACCTACCAGAGTCTTTTCTTCTTCAGCATTAAGATAACCAGTGCTACTCTTCCTTTTTGTGCCCAAGTATCTTTCTTCTCTTATATCCACTCCCTCAGGTTCTTTCAGACGAGCATCGAATCTGCGGATTCCTTCAATCGTTACTACCTTGGTAATTGGCAGTTCTTCAAAATGTTTTTCTTTCTCATCTTCCATTAAGATCTTAACCCCATTCGGGTCAGATCTCAACACTTTCTCGGCACTGGCATCCTCGTTTAGCGTAACGCTCCGCGAATTCGATAAATGACAATAAGACAGCGTCAGAAATAAGGTTAAAAGTAAAAAGCAGGGATGCTGCGAAGGAGTGTGTTTCGAACTGAGTGCTCTCATGATCGCGGTCACGAAGCGAATGTCTCAGTGAACCGGTAGAATCGTACGAACTGCTCTATCGCCGGCCATATATAACTGTTCATACTGGTTTCTTGCACTTTAATATACTTTCAAGGTGTAGTATAGATCGGATGGTCTACAGGACGACCACAGGTATTTCTATTTTTATAAAGTATACACCATTTGAAGTTTTATTATAATACCGACAAAGAATTACAGATCAGGTTTGCCGTACAACAACAAATTCTTTTGTGTGTAAGACCAAGCGAAGAAGTTATCAGATCAGCAATAAGTAGTCTTTAATTATCAACTCATATTTTGCATATATATATCGATCAATAAACTGCCTAGAAGTGAATACATTTTACATTTTTCACAAATTTCACGTGTATTGAAAGGAACATAGCGAAACCGGTTATTGTAAATGGAGAATATGGAAATTTCTCTCCTCTACGAATACTAAATAATCTTGCTTGTACCTTGAGGATCTCCTGTTTTGTATACGTATAGGCATATATGCAGGTATGCAGGTTCGTTATACACGCGGTGAAAGAATGTATTTTTAACCTTGAAGATGGCTAGTAACTACCAGAAGGAGGCTTTTCTATGGTGGGGACGCAGCTTTTTTACTGATGCGGTGTGCGGTCTTTACTGTATGTCTTTTGCCGAGCTCTACTCGTCCTTATCTAGATTCAGCCAAAGAAGAAGATACCAATAAACCAGTATGATTCTCTTTCTTTTAGTTATTTGGGATCCACTGTATGCGTTTATGGTATATCCATAGCGTGATAGCTATTCCTTTTTTTGTAAGTCTTACGCCATGGTCAACTACTATTATCGATTCAAGGTGACTGTAAAAAATCGTTTTATGATCTGTAACGGCCATTGATACTTAAGAGTAAAAAGAGGCCAGTAATCAAAGATATATGGATCAATGTATCAATGTATAAAAATAATTCACTATTCCAAATAAAACTCTAGAAAATAATAATCTGTTAAATTAAAATAATGTATAATCTATTCAAATGTTTTACGAAAAAGATTAGTTTATTCTTGAAGACTAATAACTAAAACAAGATCTATGTAAGAGCAATCCAAAGATTCAGACTATCCTAAGAATCCAGGGTCAATGTTACTCCAAGTCATTTACAGTCAAGTACATGTCAGGGGCGTAATTGGTTGGTGAGTTTGCGGTGGGGTTCATCAGGGGACTTCGTTCGCTCTTTCTCGCATATATAACCTGCATAACGGACCCCATAAAAGAGACTTCCAGCATTCGAGTGACGTAATGCGCCGCGGAGCACGCGCAGTGAAGTCCACCTTTCGTATTAGTAGGAACTCTTGACAGTTCAAAGGAATGGTACGGGCACGATAGTAACGATAGTTCTCATGGTTCCTCCTGCTAGATCACGAGCACGGCGAATACTCTCCATGGTGCTTCTGATTCAGTTTAACATTCACAATATATACTAGAATTACCAACCAATGGTCGTTGAACTTTAGCGCGTATACGTGTGTGTTAATTTGCTGAGAAAATCGTATAAAAATGTTTCGGATTGGGTGGAACCTCATGTGCGTTCTTGCAGTGGTTCGCGCATTTCCAAACGATGCGCTACATGGAAAAGATAAAGAAACGCAAGTTGAGCACACAGTCACGAAACAAATACCGATTAGTACAATGAAACATACAAAATTGAATGCTTCCGAGGATCCAGATATTGCAGCTATTAGAAAAATTTATAATGACTTGTTCAATGACACTAATGGTCAAGGTGAGTTATTTTTCGCTAGTTTATACTAGAGTCAGCATTTGACACACTTTATCGCTACTCATAGTGTACACTTTCACATAGATGAAAGTGTTATGTTTACTTAGATCATTCTCCAAATAATAATATCTTCATTTTAAACGACTATATTGATGATGATTTTAAAGCTCTTTTTTTGTCAGGTACAACCATTAAGGAAGAAAGAACTTTTGGAGTTAAACGAATACAATTTATGCTATTACCAATGATGTATAAAATGGGAGTGATGATGACAATGCTTACTGTGCTTACCGTTATTTCCCTTAAAGGACTTATGATCGGTAGGTGAAAATTACGAAAATAACTCTTGATTGCCTCAAAAACTCTATAACAGTATCACACAACGAATTCTCCTGGCATTCTCTGCTACATACATAATAATAATTCGACACACTGACCCATTTATACGTGCAAAGTGCTACATTGTATACATTGTCACCGATCTAAAATACTTTGAATAATTAATCAATTTATGAACGTCCGTGAAATTCAGTCCGGTAGTTCAATTCAGGTGGCCGTTTTTTTTTTCAAATAATTCTTACTTTGAGTCATTACATTGATAATGACAATACATTCCTAGAAAGTACATGCATTCCAAACATAATAACTATATACAAATTATAATACACGTTTCGCAGGAACATAAAAGTTGTATGATGTGGAAATTGTCACAATTATGATATTACTTTTATGTCATTATGTATCAAATGAATGATTTTTAGCATTTAAAATAAAATAAAAAACTCTTGTCCCTAACACTTATTCTGTTGACATAAGCTCTGTCTTATAAACAGAAATCCTACATTTTAACAACGAAAAAATACGAAATATCTCCTGAAGATAAAATTTCATCCCAGATTGAGCAATACGTTTAGTACCCATCTATTACCATTAGAATTATGTCAAGCACTACACACGTCACAAATACAAAATACTAAAAAATACTTACCACATGCTTGTCTACTGTTAGGAAGATTAAGTACCTATAATATTATGATTGTATATAAATTTGAAAGTTATTTTTTATCATAGGTGCTTTTCTTCTGGTATTGAAGTTGAGCGCTTTCTTGGCAAAGTTCCACTCCGGTTGGCATGCACACGCCGATCATGGACAATCCTGGTCGCCACCTCAATTTGTTCACGTGCACGTACACAATGGAGGCGGTGTTCATTCAGGCCATAGCCAAGCATACAGTGGTTGGGATACTGTTAGTGCACCAGGAGATGATGAAAACTACTATTATAAAGGATAAAATGACAGATTTGTCTAACAAAATTCTTTAACAATTTTTTCAAGTATTCTGGATTCATCATTTCGGAATGCCATTCTTCGGAAAAGTAGAAGAAGTGCCAGAATTTAGTCTAATATTTGTCCATACGAATAAGAATATATCACGCGTTAGCCAAAGAATTTGGAAATACTTTACCCCTTAAGTATGTTTGATGCATCATTTAAAATGTTTTATTCCTTTTTAAAAAAATAATTTCTACCATAAAACGATTATAAAAATTCAATTAACTTTTTATACAACACATTGTTAGCACAAATTGTTTCAGTCTTACCTCATTACGAAAGGGTTTAAGTAACTTAATTATTTATCAGTGCAGCTTTCATAAGATTCTTGCATCACCTGATGTTAGCACGCTGAGTTGATTTCTATCAATTCCTAAGTATGATAGAATCATCTTCAAGTGGTGCAACAATCGTGAGTAAATCTGTATGTACAGGGTGGATTGCCCAGTCATCGGCAATGAACCAGTAATCTTTAGTATGTGCTTTGACTATTGCAAAATTTACAGTATTATAAGGCAATTGACGATTATTGATGTATGACCGAGGACTGGGCCATACACCTTACATATAATATTTAGTATTATATAGTTAAAGGTAGAAAAATTCATGGTGCGTTGGATAGAAATTTTATCACTATGATCCGTCATATTATTTTATTATATTAGTTATGAATTTATATTGTACAGAAGCAATATTGAAATAATTAATTTATTAAACCTACTTAGAAAATTAATCTTTCCTGTTTTCCGTATGAAACAATCGCAATGAACCAAACTCAAGAGCCAAAACAAGTGACTATATTTAAGGGTTTAGATACCTAAATACCTCACAATCACATAACTGTTTTATTATTTAACTAATTGTTAAGAAGATCATTGAATTATTTATTTAATTGAGGAAACTCATAAAACATAAATAAGATAATTGTTTATTATAACAAAATTACCTTATTTGCTTATTCTTTACCTCGAAAATACTTTAAATTATTTAAAAACGGTGTCGCAACCCTTCGCGAAAGTTAGAACTCTCATACATCTACCGAATAAGAAAAAAGACACGCCGATTTGCAAAGAGAAGAAATATTTATTCAGAGTCAACCTCTATCACGTCCATTCGGTTCGGTTCCGTTCACACGATTCACCACCCTCCCTCTTTTCTTCTTTATTTAACAAAAGAAGAACGTAGATTAGTAACAGCGTTGCTAAGAACAAATACGCTGTGTTAAATAAGTTTGCGTCACTGGTCTTACTTTCAAATCATTTTATTACATAACAATCTTCACAACAATACAAAACTTATGTGACACGTAATAGAATATGATTGATCGTTTCTGCATTGGGAAATGGATCTATATAATTATAAGGGTTTCAACGTGTTGTAGCACTTGTAGAATATACATACATTAATATGCATGCTGTCTAATTTAATAAGAATATTTTTGCGAAAAATATGCTATTATATATCATAGAACAATTTAAAAGCAGGCAGAGCCAATTACCTCCCGTAAAAAATTAATGGTGACGTGATATCGAATATTGAAAATCTATCAACTCTTTGTTCTTATGCTGATCCCTAATTTGCGCGATATGATTAAATTTTGAATGAATTTGAAAAATAATATTATATAATTATCAAACATTTATCAAAAATTGCGTTAGGATCATTTCTTAAAGTATATGTGTGCTGTGTAAGTTACACCTTTGGTAAGAAGATTCAAGTCATCAACCTAATAAAATATAACATACTCGTAGGTAAAAATCCACGCACTACGTAGACTTAGTACGTAGCTACGTTCACATTGAATTGCATGGAATAAAATTACACTTGCAGTAGTACTAGAACACTGGCTTCTTGAGTGGGGTCAAGCATTAAGAGAATAAAAAAGGAAAAACCTCCTCTTCGCTCGAAAGATCTTGAGGCAGTCTGCTTGGCCGTTAGTTAAGATAGGCGCGAGTACATGACACGTGTGTTCTAAAGCAGTTTCTCTCGAAAATATATAATAGATTTTTCAATCATTATAAATATTTCCAATAGAACCTCAGCACTTCGATTACCGGTCAATATTCGCAGATGTTACATTAGACCGAAGACACGCTAGAACGCCTAGAAATATCATTGCGTTTAAGAAGTTTTATGCACAGAGCGCACATTATGAATTATAGAAACGTTATTCTGCGGAACATATTCTACTTTATTAATTTAATAAATAAGTTTACATGTGCCGAGAATGACATGAAAAAGTTAATAAATTCTGCATAACTGACTGACACCTGTAATCTATTTCCGGGGATATATTTAATATTTATTAACGACGAGATTCGAATAAAATTCGACGTCAAGAGTGTTATATTGCACAATACAAACATTTCTACACTAAAAAGACTTTCTGGCAAGTCAGTTTTGAATGAAACATCAGAAGCCAGGGTGAAAGACAATTCTGACGACGGCGAAAATAACAATGGACTCATAAAATTTGGTTCGATGATCGCCATAGTTCCATTACTTTTACAAGTAAGTTATATACATATGATTTATAGACATGCAGTTATTACAAGAAATCTATGGAGTCATTGATTTTTCAGATATTCTCACTTCCGGGAGCCTTGGCATCCATTAAGGTGTCTCTTTTGAAGAGTCTTCTGGTGGGAAAACTCGCACTGGCTTTGATAATCTTCAATGCACTCACAACGCCCAAAAGGCAGAAGTAGTCGTAGTGCATGAGACACATCATCAACAGCACAATCATTATCATCATCAGTATCTTGATTCTGATGATGACGATTATGACAACGGTTTGTTCGGGCGTAAAAGACGTCGATAATATTTTGCATCCGACAAGAGTAACGGAAACTAATAAGCGCAAAACTGTGAGAGACTAAGAAGGACTGGAAAGACTAAGAAGACTGGAAAATTATTTTTTCTGAATTTTCTAGAAACAATACAAATTTGAATTCAATTATCTAGTTTCGCACCTGACTGTTGGACAATACCGTTCTTTCTTACTTTCCCCCCAGCGATTTGGTTCGCGCCAAATTTAAATTTTCGTAAGGAAACACGCTGTAGATTAGTAAATGAGCCGTTCGTATATCCTACGATAACCAATACGGCGACGCTGTGCTACTTGTCGGATTGCGGCTAACGGCATTCTGGTCCAGATACAGAGTGAAGGACAAGAGTTCGTAAAAAAAAGGTGCGCCAAAAATTCATTCCTCCCTCATTAATTTCGAGCATGAAATCGAAATTAAATATTGTTATGACAATTTCAGATGTGTTCAACATTACCATTGAAATCTGAATTGACTACACGAAAAGAAAAAATTTATATTTAAAAGGACAAACATTTAGAATAGAGTAATAATTATACTAATAAATATGTTTATTTTGTTATAACCAAAATTAACTTGTAAATTGTATTAAAAATAAATTGATGGATCAAATACAAATTTTCACTATAAAATAGAACATGATAAAAAATCTAATCTAAAAAATATAAAAGAGAAAACAATCATCCTAACATTTTTTCAAAATGCACTATGCGTTCGTACTAGAAACCCGTCTAGAGTTCCGGAGACATTTTGGTATGCATATGCCGTTTCAAACTTGGCGGATTCTTCGCTAAGCATACGTGTACACCATAAAAGCACCTTTCTTATTGTAGTAGTTATAATCCAATTTGTTGAAAAAACGGTAACCAAACGAACCAATACAATGAAGGAAGAGAGAGAGAGAGAGAGAGATTCACGTACGGTACGATTTCTAAAATTTCCACGAATTTCCTTGAATCCTCGATTATTCTAACCTAAATAAACGATTCTATAGTAAATAATATTGTTTCGAGAATCCAAAATATTGTAATACAGATGCTATTGAAAATTATGGTCATTGTAACTTAATTATAACATATGCTAATTATTCGTTTTAAAATTAATTAATTTAAAAAGTTAAAATAGAATTTGACATTTGAAAATGAGTTTAAAATAGATTAAATTAATCGCTAATCTATGCACAAATAGCAACCTGTTATTCATACTTACTCGTACGTAGGTATAATGCCAATGCTAAGTACAAGCTGTACAAAATCTATAGGCACGTATATCCTGAATACTATTAAAGCTAGTATACTGTTTACGTCATATAACGTTACGTCTATAAATAATAGTATATACTTGGTATATACCGAACCTATATGGATACGGATCGGTTTGTTTTTATATGTTTGGTACATTTGCCACGTGTGACATGCACGTTCTGAGTGCTGTTATACGTAGAGACATCGTTGGCACAGTGTACTAAAGTAGATCGTGTATTAAAATTCAATTATTGCTACTACTGTACATACTATAAGTATAAAATATCTCAAAATTTATATGACATAAGGGATGCATAAAATAATTGTCTGGTATCATACAGTTATCTTTAAATATTCGTCTTTCATTCATAGCTTTGTAGCAATTTTTGACCCCTGGATTTTCGAATCGTATACCTCAATAGTTTTTGATTGCAAAAGTATCTATTTCGTTAAAAACAAAATCTTTCGATTTGTTTAACATAAATATTTATGCTATTTATTGAAATATATCTTGAACTCATAATTATTAAAATTAGGCTACTCCAAAACATTAAGCCCGTAGAAGGGCAGAGAGTCAAAACCTGGACCTCTGATTAGTCTCTTATAAAAGTTTAATTAAAAATTATTAAGAAGGTACGACTATTACAACAAATCTATCTAACCAATCTGAAATTTGGATATCTTCTTGGCAGATTCATAATCTTCATGCGTGCAAAGTTTCTAAAAGATTAACTACCCCATTTCTGAAATATACCCAGTGAACATAACCTTAAATTGCATAATACAGATCTACTTGTGTTAATTTGATGTCATGTATTTCGGCTTATGAATGATGAGAATTCATGAAATTTTCTATACATTTATTTTACATTTAAAATAATTATTATCGTTTTATAATTGACACAGGTGGAAATATTTTATTAACTTGTTACAAAAATAACTGTGCAATATAATAATATTGAAAATTAAAAAATGTATGCATCTTTGCTTTTTGGCTTGAGTCAATGATGATATGTTGTATAGTTAATATTTTTAAGAATGGCAGTATACGATTTATACTTAAAAAGAAAAAAGCTACTATATACAGGGTGTTCGTTTTGAAACGCACTGTAGTAACACTGTTACATTCCTTTTCAAAGTCTAATGAATACG